CCCAGCTCTGCCACCTATTTTCTGTGTGACTTATCATTTTTAAACCTCAATTTCCTAATCTGATAATACCTGTCTTTTAAGGTGATGAGGAATGGAACAGCACACATGTAAAATGCCTGACACTGAGCCTGGTACATAATAACATTCATCAAACATTCTAAACATTTTACAAATGTTATCTCACAGACTCCTCATAACAACTGTGTGAGACAGATACTATTATCCTCATTTTACAGATGCAGGATTTGAGGCACAGAAAAGTTAATTTGCCAAAGTCACACAGTTATTAAATGGAGAGTCAATCTAGACAGCCTGATGCCAGGGCCCAGGCCATTTGCCACTAAAAAGTAATTACTATTACTATCTTTAACCAGACCATGTCCAAGCAGTCTTGCCTAAAAGAAACTCTTACCATTCCTCAGGGTTAAGCTAAGGAATCAAAATTGCCTTGACTCTCCTGATCTTAAACACAAATTTAAAGAGTGCCACTTGAGGGTCATGGGGTAAGCTGGCGCAAAGACAATGTTGGGGAAAGGTGTGGCTGATGGGACAGCCCCATCAGCAAAGCATCTATGGAAAAGTTATTTGCCATCTTTGAGGCTCCTGGCTCAAATAATCCCATATGGGACTGACTGATGCTTTCTCTGTGGAAGTACATCCTGAGAAATGTTTCACTTTCTAGGAGGCTTTGGATGAAAACTCACCATGACATCTTCTCTGTTTGAATGAACTCTATATTGCCATTTGAGCTTTGTGAAATTTTTTCCTGAATGTTTTCAGAACTTTGCTTTTCGGGTTATAGCTAATTTTTCCGCTTTCTCCTAGGACCACAATTTCCTTAAGGCAGTGTAAGGGAACAGAAAGAGACAAGGGAACATATTTTCATACTGCTGTCCTCTCTCACTATTTGATAGCATCCTGAGTCTTGGATTTTGCCTTTAACTTGCATCTTTCCGAATCCTGTCATAATTCAATATACCTCTCATTGGGAAGCCTTTCAAGTTTTACCCTCTAACTCTACCCCTAGCAGAAAAGTCAAGGAAAACTAAGGCAATCAATTTGGAAGTACTCCCTTTCAATTTGGAAGTACTCCCTTTCTAACTCAGTCGCAGCTGTGCAACATCCAAACATGTGACTCAGGAGGGAACCAGGTAAGCCATCAACCTACAAACACTCAGGCCTCAACTAACAAAGCTCCCTGACCAGGTATGCTTGGCTCCCATTCTGAGAAAGGTTCTGAAAGGTTCAGGGATAAGCATTTATACTTTCTGAAAATAGAATCTGCGGGTTATAAATAAGGAAAAAATTTTACCAGTGTCCTAATCCTAACACTGCCTTCGAGAACCCCCTGGATAGCTAGCTCCCTGGGTGAGGTCTGATTCTGCTCCCTGCTCTCCGCCCCAAGAAAATTGGGTTAATACCTCCCCGGATGGCTACAGGGAGGATTAAGGATCATTATTCTTGGCATCTAGCTCTGTCACAGCTCTAGCAGTTGTGACCCTGTTCATCCTAAAAGAAGATATTAAATATAAAAATGCAAATGGTGACCCCTGAGCAGTGTCTCAGAATTTTCTTTGCCCTGGGCCTCTGACACTACCTCCTGTACTCTGACCTGTTGGCTGCATCCTCCCCTTATTCAGGCTTCAAGTTGTTAAGTATTAGTCACTAATACCACAAAGCCCTTCGAGGAGTCAGCAGCTATTACTAACAGCACAAAGAATAACTCTCAGGGTTTCATTCAGGCCTGAATTCACCCTGAGGAAGCCAAGGAGTTGTACTCCTTTATCCTCAAGCCCTAGCTCTCGAGGGTTATCAGTGAAGTCTCATGAAAAGCATCCATTATGTCATTTTGTCCTCATAAACCCACTATAAGCTAGGCACTGTCATAAGCATCATTTTACAGATGAGGAAACTGTAGTTCAGAGAGGATATGTGATTTATCCCAGGTCACACAGCTAAGAAGGGGCAGACATGGGTTCAGATGTCAGCCCTATCACTACTAGCTGTGTAACGTCCAGCATATTTCTTAACTTTCTCATTTCCTCATTTGTAAGGTGGAGATCATACCCACCTTATAATGGATTTCTGAGGATTAAATGAGGTACTGCAGAAGCATCTAGCAAGTGCCTGGTACATAGTAAGTACATAATATATATTAGTTGTTTTTTTTTTTTACAGATCAAAGACAGGTAGTTTGATATCATTTTCACAGAATCACAGAGTTTAAAATACTGAAAGATCACTTAGTTTAATTACCTGCAGAAGTATGAACCCCTCTATCACATCCTTGATAAAAACTGGCAAAACTCTGTTTGAATACCTCCAGTGATGGGTAACTCACTCCCTCACAAGGCTGCCCATTTTGTTTTTAGAAAGTCAAATTCTCTCCTATCAAACCAAATTTTACCCTCTTGGAATTTCTCTTTTAATCCTAGGGCAGCCTTCTAGAATCACACAGAGAAAGTCCAGTTCCCTTTCCCCATGACAATTCTTCAGGTATTTGAAGGCAAGAATCATGTTCCCCAAGGCTCTTAGGCTTGGTCCTTTCAGCTTTTCCTCATATGTCACAGTCCCAGAGGCAGCTCAATATCACAGAGCAGACAGACATCAGTATGAATTCCAATCCTTTCTCTTACTACCTGTGTGACCTTAAGCAAGTTACTTAACTTCTCTGAACCTGTTTCTTCATCTGTATGATAGGGGAAATGATTCTCACCTCACAAGACAGTCATGAGGGTTAAATTAGATAAAGTAAGAACACTACCTAGCACCAAGCCCAACATATACCAGACCCTCAATAAATGTTAAATCACTTTTTAGGATATATTCCAACTGGTAAATATCTCTGAGTAAATTAGCCAGAATTAAACATAACACTAATGGACCAGTTTCTGGTGGCAACTGCCAGGCCTTGGCTAAGAAGAAAGCACAGCCCAAGGATTCTGTAGGTCCATCAATATGCAATGGCAGCTCAAAGATGCAGCAGAAGATCTGGAAAGGTAAGGATGAAAGAAGAAAGGAAAAAGGACAGACCATTAAACCAGTGACATAAACAAAAAGCTAGTATCACCATATTACATGTTGTCTATGACCCTCTCTCTGAGACTCAGGACTGCACATGTGAGCCATATTCCCTAATTTAAAAAGAGAAAAAAAATAAAAACAATTGAACAAGTCAAGAGTCTGGATCTTCCGCAGCAATTGGCCCTCAAGATCCACAGATGCCTGGCAGCGGGCTTCAAGATCTTCAGTTGTGTCCTTCTAGATCCTGAAGTCCAGGTATGTGAAAACACTCTACAAAGGATGCCCAATGAATCAATACTGAATTCCTTGCAGCTAGACAAATTGCCAATTGTGTCACAACTCTAAAACTCAAAACTGGCAAACCGTCATTAACACCATCATCATAATCGTTACCCAAATTCTCTCCTTCTCTCAGTGACAGTCAAGGAAGGTGTCCCAGGCCGAAATATGGATTGTTGCTCAATTATTCTGCAGAGTTGATCCAAAAGCACTGATCTGTTTCTACAATTCAGATGTGTCTTGAACATAAGCACCCCAAATAGTTCAAAAGAGGAAAGGATAGTAGGACCCTAGATTTAAAGCAGCATGATCACAAAATATGATAGGAAAGGTTGTTTTCTGCCAATGAAATACAACAACCTACAATAAAGAAATCCATTGTTAGTCCCAGATTCAGCCCAAAGGAGCCCCACTAGTTGCTCCCTGGTCTGTAACAGAGGATCTGGCTATTTTACTCAACGGCAAAGATTCCATTCAATTCCTCTAAAGATATGAGTTACAAGGAAGAATAAGCCAGAACTCAAATCAGAAAATGCCTTACGTAGTTCATTCACCATAGTGAGCAGAGACTGGCCACTCAAGGACTCTAAGGTACAGTAAAGCTTAGTGCAGACCAGTGGGCATACCTGTGCCCTGGGTGAGGATTTCTTAACGTCTTTGAGTCAGAAGATACCCTTAGAATAGTTTTCTCCTCAAAACTGTTTCAGGCTTTGTTAAAAAGTGGACACTTAACTGCCCCTTTACCCGGATCATCCACCCCATCCTTGGAAAGACTGCGGAAGCTGCAGTCCCCTTATCAGGCTTCTAAACTCATCAACTTGAGAGGAAAACTTTAAAGTTGCTCAGAAGGTTAAAGAAAGTCACAGAAGAAAAGAACTTTGGGGGAAACAGTCAAATTAGGCTGTTAGCAGTCATAAGTCCCAATACCTCCTCTCTAGAAACCCTGGTAGTACACCTGCTGGGGAGACAGCATCTTTGCCGTTGAGTAAAATAGCCAGAGGGCACCAAGCAAATTCAACCCGGTTGGCAAGAGGGCGTCCCACTGCAGCTTTCAGCAACAAGAATTGGATCCTGCTGGTTCGAAGCCTCTCTTCTATCTCCTCACTTCCTATTTAGCCTTTGAAGACGGTACTGAATAGACCATTCCCAAGTATAGGCCCTTTGTACCGGGCGCTACTGTCACCTGGTGGAAACACCTTGGCAGAGTTCAGTTTGGTGCCTGGATAGGCCACTGAAGGCATCTGCGACTGCCAGAAGCTTAGACGGACACATAAAGAGAAAGAGAGAGAGGAAACTAAGAGAGCAGGTCAGGTCAGCGTTGCCCTCCCGGCACTTCCACCTGCCCCCTTCTTCCTGAGACCCGCGCCAGATCAGATGTCAAACAAAAACTCCGCAAAAAAGTCCCGGGATGGGACGACTTCCACCTCTCCCCCGGCAGAGCCTCCCGGGACTCCCAAAGCCTTCCCCCAACGTCCCGGCCAGCCCTCCACCCCCACACTGCCCTCGGCTCACCCTGCCCACTGCCCCAGAGAGGCCTGTCCCCTCTCGGGACACCCAGGGGCCCCGAGGCGAGCGGGTTCAGGCCCCCAGGCCGGCATGGCTGGAGCCGGCCCAAAGCAGGCGGCCCGTGTCCCGAGGCTGCAGGAGCCGGTCCCTGCCTCGGCGCCCGCGGAGGGCAAGGGGCGGCGCGACCGTACCTGTCAGGTCTCTTCCCCAGACCAGCAGCGGCGCAACTTCAGGAGCCCATGTCCGTCCGGGGGGCCCGGCCCCTCTCCCGGGAGGGGGGGCGCGGATCCCGGGGAGAGGGCTGGGGGACCCGGGCAGCTCTAGCCCCTTCCCATGCTCCCCGCCCGGCGCCTGGCCGGGGCCGGACAGCGCCTCCGCCCGCCCCTGCGCACCGCCTCACACCCGCGCTCACACACACTCACACTCCCTCGCGCGCTCTCACACACGCACTCCCCTCCCTCCTCCTCTGTTTATCTCCTCCAGCTGTCTGGGGACCCAGGAGAAGCCCTGCACTGCGCCTGCGCCACGCAGTCTCCGCCCCCGCCCCGCGTCTCACAGCCGGCGGCTACGCTACGGAGCCAGCGCCGGTCTGTTTCCAGAATGGCTAGCCGGGCCCCCCCGGTCTCTCCGCGCCGGGTCAACGTCTGCTGCCGGCGGCGCCTACTAACCTGCTAGTGGGGGAGACCTGCACCGCCACGGCCAATCCGTTTCGCCGCTCGCGGGCCCGGCAGCCAGTGGGCTGGCGGGAAAGCCGAGGTAAGTCCTGGGGCATCCTGGGAGTCGTAGTTTTTAGCTATCGCGGAGCTCCTGCAGAGCGGGCTCACCCCGCCCGGTTGCCATTAGTTACTTGGACGCACCTCCCATTCCGCCACCGCGTAAAATGCTCCCTCTCCCCGCTTCTGCTCCCCCCTCACACTCGTCCATTGTCCCCCCCAACCCCCACACAGCCTCCTAAGAGCTTCTCAAGACTTCCTCTGAGCCCCTGAATTGCGAGATCCCTCAGGCGAGGGTCCCAACCGCCCCCCCCCTCTCCGAGCCAAGCCTCAGTTTACTCCTTTCTGCTCTGGGGAGCTGCTGAAGTAGCACATTCCTCACTCTTATCTCCTGGACCTGAAGGAAGAGGATAAAGGGGAATCGGTCCTACACTGGAGGAGAGTCAGCCATACACATTCAGAATGCTCAGGCTGATGGGAGAGACAAGGTCCATCTGAGTCTGGTGGAGTCACTGCTGTTCCCACCTCTCAGGAAGAGAGGCAGCATGGAGTCCCAAGTTTGATGGAGGGAGTTCCCAAGGTGACAAGAGAGCACTATGCCTAACTTAAGGCAGAGACCAGGCCACACCCATGAGGAGCCTCAAGTCAGAAAAGGAAGACACTGTGGTCACCTTCTAAGAGAAACTTGTCATTCATCCATAGGGTGCCAATAACAAAAATTTACTTTTATTCGCACTGTATTGGATACAGTTTCTTAGACAGGTGCTATTGTTATCTGTGTTTTGCAGAAAAGGAAGCTGAAGCATAAAGAGGTTAAAAGCAACTTGCTCAAGGTAACAGAGCTGATAAGCAAGCAAACTGGGATTCAAACACAGATCTGCCTGACTCCAGAGTCTGAGCCTTTGAACACTGCCTGTTCCTCCTGTGAGAACCAGGCAATACCCACCCTCAGGAAGGACAGAATATACATATTTAGTATTTATAGGGTTTGTCCCATATTTATCACTCCGTGAGTTGTTTGATTTTTCTGATTCTGTTCATGAGTACGAATTATTCTTTGAGCTCCCAAAGGGTGATCTCTCCCCATTTGGAGGAGTAAGAACATATCCTTGTGAATTCAGCTCACAAAGCCTTTCATGGCTTTCTCCCAAAAATATCGTAGGTCATTCCTCCTGACCTCTTCCCTACAGCTGTTCCACTGAATATAAAATATCATAGAGTTTGGGACTAGAAGAAAACTTTGAGATTATCTATCCATAGCTCCCCAGGTTCAGCTGTGACCTTGGTTAAAGTCACTGGGTCAATTAAACTGAATAATAGCTAACATTTATTGAACTTACTGTGGGAGATAAGTGCTTACCAGTGTATTAAGTAACACTCCCACAATCACATAGCTAGGAAATGGTACGATTTGGATTAAAACCGAGATTATTCAAACCCAGACCCCCCATTTTAGACCCTCGTTCTATGGTGGCAAGGTATCAGAGGATTTTAGGAATACTGACAGAGAAGTGTGGGTGATGTTTCTGTGACTCCTAACACAGTCTATGGCACATAGCAGACACTCGGTAAATATTCGTTGTCAGAATAAACTTTTGTTGGTAGGGAGTAGATGACAGGAAGAAGACTATTAATATTAGCCACAGCTACTATTTATTGGTTATTTCCTACTAGTTTACTCATGCTCTCACACTTGCTCTTGTACTTTCTCTCTCTCTCCATGTATGAATATCTATACATATATGTATGTGTGTGTGTACATATATATCCACACACACTAACTCACTTGATCTCACAACAACCTTATGAGTTAGGTATTATTCTTACTTCCATTTTTCATAGAAGAAACAGAGACTCAAAGGAAGTTTAAGTTCAAAATAAGACACATCTCCTAGCCATAGGTGTTTTCAGATTAATTTAAGGGAGAGTTTTCTAACTAATAGAGCTGGGCTACTTTGGGAGGTTGTGAGCTCTCTGTCTCTGATAGTATTCAAGAATATGTATAATCATCTGTCTGGGACACTACAGAAGCAATAATTGTATTGGGTAAATATTTAATTATGTGACCAATTCCAATAACCTCTGATTTGGCTTTTGGAAGCAGATAAAGATTATTCAAATAAGGCTTGCAACAGTGAATGCAGCTGCTTTTTCTCTCCTAAGAACATCAGATGATGTCCCAGTTGATCACAGGCTCTGCAGAGGTGGTCACTGATCCTACTATTTTCATTTGCTGATTGGACTCCTGGGCAAAAGTGAGCATATTCAGTCTAAAATTGAAGATGCTCATATTTTACAACCCAGCAATTCTACTTCCAAAACCTTAGAGAAACGTTGCACATGTGCACAAGGAGACATGGGCAAGGATACTCCTTCCAACTGTATTGTAATAGAACAAAAGTCGAAACAACCTAACTATCCTTCTGTAGGGGAATGGATAGATGAATTGTGGTTTATTCATACAATGAAATACTGCACAACCAATTAAATGATTTACATGCATCAAGATAGAGAAATCTTAAAAACAATAAGAAGTGAAAAAGAGAAGTTGAAAGATGATATACATTCAGTAGGATATTTCTGTAAAATATAACACAAAAAATCATTATTTATAGATATATACATAGAAAAGTACAAAAAGTTAAATAGGAAAGACACAGCAATTTTGAGAAAGTGGTTACCTCTGAGAAAGAGAAAGAAGAGGTGGGAATGGGGTTTTAGCTGTATTTATAATATTTTATTTCTTTTAAAAAGAGATTAAAATTAAATATAGCAAAATATTAAACATCACTTTTATCTTGGTGGTTATATTATTATCTGAATTTTTCTGAATGTTTGAAATAGTTTTTTTTTTTCCTTTTTGTCTTTTTTCGTGACCGGTAACGGGATCGCAACCCTCGGTGTCGCGCCCGTGCCCGTACAGCGACCGGCAATGGGATCGCAACCCTCGGTGTCACGCCCACACCGCGACCGGCAATGGGATCACAACCCTCGGTGTCGCGCCCTCACCGCGCTCAACCAGTGAGCGGACCGGTCTCTATATGGGATCCGAACCCTCGGCGGGAGCGCCACCACACTCCCAAGCGCCACACTCTACCGAGTGTGCCACCGGGCCGGCCCTTGAAATAGTTTTTAATTAAGCACTTAAAAAAATTTTTTTAATTAAATGAGGGAAAAAAATTCATCTTGACACAGGCACCAAGCCTGCCTAAAAGTTAAAGGTCTATAATCTGTACTGTGGTAATTATTATCACACAACAATAACAGAAGAGGTACTACCTCCATTTATTTCCATTAAGATTTCTGGTTGCAAAGCCTTTTGGGAGTACAATCTAGGCCACCATGAGAAAAGGTTGAGACCCACTGGTTTCAGTTAGACCCTCACTTCACCGAGGAGAAACCTGTGGCCTGGAACAATTTGGTGACTTACCTAAAGTCAAAAGGGCCAAGCGTCCAAGCTCTTACACTGCAGTCCACTAGTCCATCAAGATTAGCCAGACTGGGGCCGGCCTGTGGCTCACTCGGTAGAGTGCGGTGCTGATAACACCAAGGCCACGGGTTCGGATCCCATATAGGGATGGCTGGTTCGCTCACTGGCTGAGCGTGGTGCTGACAACACCAAGTCGAGGGTTAAGATCCCCTTACCGGTCATCTTTTAAAAAAAAAAAAAAAAAAAGATTAGCCAGACTTATCTTATGCACACTGCACCCGTTTTTAAGCTGTTCTCTCCACTTGGAATCACTTTCCTACTCCCATTTATCTTACTGATCTTTGTTCCTTCTCTAAAACTCTACTTGGCTAAGCTAAGAAAGAATTAGCCAATCTTACTCCCCAAACTTGAGTCTAAATATTAGAGCCGAGAGGCCCCTAGTCAGTTTCCCTTCTCTGCACTGTCAGTTCTCTGCTCAGTCCTTCCCAGAAAACATGTTTTCTGTCTCACAGGACAACACATTTCCTTATTTGAACTATTCCGACCATCAGAAAGCTCTTCTTAATAATAAAGCTCTTACTTCCATTTATTTATTCCAACTCTGTTCTCTGTGGCAATATAGGCTTTGTGCATTAAATGAAGTGATACTTGTAAACTAGAAACGTCTGGGCCAATACGGTGGGGATTAGCAGGAGTGGTGGTCATAATGATCCTTTTTGCTGTTAAAAAAGCTTCACATAATGAAGATCTCATGTCTCCACTGAGTCTTCTCCTTACTAAGCTAAATTTCCTTCGAATCCAGCCAAAAAAAGGCAAAGATTCTCACCAGTGGGGATGTTCAAGAGAATATGTCAAGGAATCTTGTGGCATTTCCAAAACAGGCATTCCAAAGATGTCTACGCAATGATTGACCCACTAGAATAGTTAGCAGATCAGTTGAGACTGTTTTCAGATGCACGTAACACATAGTCTAACCAGGAGTGGATTAAACACAGGAGGCTGAATTTTCTCACTCAACAAGAAGTCCTGAGGTAGGTTGTAATTAGGTCAGCTGTTCAACATAATTCATTTCTACTTTTTTCTACTCCAAAATCTTTAGTTTTTCACTGTCATTACAAAATGACTGTTGCAGCACCAAGCAGAATATTTACGTTCAAGGCAAGAAGAGCAGGGGAAAAGGAGAGGAACTAGGTGATTTTTATAAAAAAATTAAAAGCTTTTTAGAAGCCCCCAACAGATTTCTGTTTACATCTCACTTGCCAGAACTATGTCTTA